CCGTCTGTTTTCAAAGTGCTTTAGATGGCTAATGAAAAAAGTGAGCTAATCCTAGAGTCTGCAAACCTCTTCGCTTGCGCTGTATTATTCACGAATCAAGAGTTTCAGACATCCACATCAAGATACCTTTCATTGTAATGTAGATGGTATGAAAGGAAATTGCTGAGGCATTGTTTGGTCTTTTCATACAATGTATGCATTATAAGTATGACTATCTGTTTTTCAGTTGTTAAATCACTGGATGATGGAGTGGTGTACATTAGATTAGCAGGACAACAGAATGGTCCTGGAAACCACAAAATATTTCTGGAAAACGTTTTTACTTTGCAACATATTTTAATGAATTTAAAGATAATGAGAGAATGCCAACAACATAACTGTGATTTCCATCAGCAGCGGCTAGACTTCCTATTGAAAAACATAAAGAAAGGTAGAGGAATCAGGATTCATCTCATAAATCGGTTGAGATATGGTTTATAGTAGATATCGACGGATGAACTGCACAAAAAGTTTATGAAACTTTTCAGGGTAACATATATGGATCAAGGTTGCTTTGGAATCTGAAATAGCCGATGCCGAAACTAGGAACTCTGGGAATGTCAAAAATTCTAATAATTTTATTCGGTTATTTCGCGTACACATTCCGGCCAGCGTGCAATGCGTGCAAAGGTGTCTCCTCCGTCAAAACCTCCTCTACCTTGGCAGTTAAACAAACTTACATCACTGTAGTCTTCTGTTGTACTTAACGGCAGGGAACTTCGGAATAATTGTTAGCAATCACACATGTGAACTATCAGGATAATGTTATTAGGTTTTTCGGTGACTCTAATGACTCAGCGGTAGTCACAGTACGGTAGTACAAAGGTACGGCCCTGACCTCGATTTGATTCGTCCCGGGTATAAAACATTCTACATGGATGGCGAAGGATGAAGCACCGAACAAATTCATTTACCTCGGAAGCAATCAGAATTTGAATGGGTGCTGCAAAGCAGAGTTATATTACGGTACTTGACTCGGTTGCCTCTTTCATTGGATCTGTCGCACACCTTGCCACATTCACAGGTCTGATTGTAAGCCACGCTTTGTTCATTGCTGATGATTACTGAACTCCTTTCGCTTTATAAATAGGAGACTACGTTTTTTTTCAAAAGACGACTTTAGAAGACTGCAAGGATTCAGTGTGAAATGCACCAAGAAATCCCTGCGTTTCAGGTGGATATACTTGATTCGCAACGTAACTTATTAATAACTAACTAATTAGTTTGCCTCTTACAGATACCTTACTAAAGAACCCTCATCGAATGGTTAGACATCATCGGTAGGAATGAGCCATGCAAAGGATTAGAGCTTCACGGAGTGAAGGGCAGACGCCAGTCATCGCCTGCGTGGAAGCAAACCAGTTGACTCCATTGGAGCGTCAGGTTACAATTGTTCGGCAGTAGGAGGTTGCTCTAATGTTTGGGATCCCAGCGAATATGCTGTATCTTGTATGAATGAAAAAAGATCATTGCATGATTTGACTGGAATTTTATGCATTATACTGATTTGCTTTGCAGACATTTTTTGTATACCTAGTTACTGGTGTGCGAAAAATGCACCGAAGTGACGACTGCTTTCTTGGTCTAATGTAGTGCGAGCAGCTGTGTCCGTTACAAAGAGTTTTGTCGTACATTAAAAGTGTGAATAACTACAAACTGACTATTTGTTTGTACTTGCTTTCCTCTATAAGTATGAAAAATGTGAAAAAGATTCAGGTGAGAAATAGGGTTCACTTGGCAGCGGATTATTTTACACTCTGATCTCTATTCCATTTTGTTTACTATCAGTTAATCATGTTAATTCGCCCAAGCAGCGACAACTTCTATCGCTTTCATCACAATTTACAAAAGATGTTGTACAGGGTGCAGAAAATTAACCCTAATTATGGTAAAAAATTGACCCTCAAAATTGCATATGACTCGTGCATGAACTAGTTACAGTCAATGGTCATCAGAACACAAAGCATTGCTCATCATCGGAGTAATAATCTTCAATAACACTGAACAGTGAGGACACCAATCGCGATCAACTCATCTCCATGAATCGTAGATTTTTAGCACCGATCGGCTCTGTACATGGCGTAGTTACTGAAAGCCACGACACCGTCCTCGATCGTTGCGTCTGGACATGACTACTGGGTAAGAATTGCATGAGGTCAAGTCCACGGTCATTTTCCTCCCTCCATTAGCGACCCCGGATCGGTCAGATCTTCAGTACAGAACGGATATTCGTTGACATCAACGAAGAAGGTGTGAATACGCCGTCGCCGTTGCAGAACAGCTTTTGCTGTATTCTTCCATCCGACCTCCGTTCAGGAGTTCATATTTTGCTGAATTTTTCCTAAACGATTTTGGCACGTTTTATGGAAGGGACACAACAACGAAGTGAGTAAAAGTCATCTCTAAAATATCATCGTTTTTCGATGAGGTACAGAGAAGTTAAAATATATGGCCAATTAGTGCAGAGAAAGAAACCACTTACAGCTGCTGCAGAGGGTTTAACCAATGCGCAAGACAGCGATGACATATAATGGTTAATTGATTGATTATTAGTCATATTTTTGATTCTTTATTGGAATTCAATTTAAAATTTTTGATTCACCAGTTGGTTGTATAATATTTACTGTGAGCTCAGGCACAGTCAGTCAAGCTGAGGCGGTTTTCATGTATGAAGTATTCGATAATTCTCAATAAATTACTTTTGCTTGGAGCAACTTGACGAAAAATAAGTGCCGTTTTCCTTCAGAGGGGCGCCACCACCAATGCACCCTATTGCACAGTATTTATACTGTCAATTTTCGGATCTGAACCATCCAAGTCTGTTGTCCTATTAGTTTCTTTGTATCGCCCATTGAACGTGATCATCGTCTTAAATTGTTTCAGAGTCTATTCCTTAAATCGGGATTCTGTGTTCAGAAGGTAGACGGCTCTCCGTACTATAGTTTGTTGTTTATGTGAATGTGGCTCAAACTCCCACAGACCCGGACTGAAATTGCCGTTCTAGTCGTCAGTTGCACATCCTTAAAATAATTAAGATCGTCTGAAAATCTAAGCCATGGTTCGACTGTAATTACCTGGTCAGCAGACAGTTTCGGGAATAATGGTAGAACTTTTCGACTACCGTAGCTGGTCACTAGTATGTACGAGTAGTGTACTTACTGTACCCTTGCCGTACTTTTGTACTTTTCATGTTTGCCGCTTTTTTCGGTTGAAATGCTTAGGTTAGATTCTGAAGAGCCTAAGAAATACATACGATCAACAAGCTGGTCTAGCAGGAGTGCAGCTAACAGTTGCTTGTCTTATATTGGTGCAGTGAGACGTCTTTAATTCTGAAAACTGATAGTCACA